TTGAGTGTTACATTTATTGCTTATATGTTATTTAAATTAATTGTATTTACTTGAGATACAGTACATGCCATTTTTCAGGGCAAAACACTGCCACTTAAGAATGGCAATTAGCTTTGCATACATTACTGAGTTTTTCAAACAGGTTACAATATGACCCACTAGCTTTCATTTACCCAACCACTTTTTTTTTTGGCTGGGGTCTTGTCTGAGTACTTTGTTCTATGACATTCATCAGCTTGAGCCAACATGGCCAATAGACTAGGATAATGGGAGTTGTAATCCCAATATCTGGAGAGTACCAGACAGAGTACCAGACTGCATATTCCTAGTTCAGAGTGCCTTTCTTCCAGTTTTCCATCATGCAGCTTCACACCTGCATGAGGCAGTTCAGCAGACCATGAGGTGGCCACAGTTCCTTCTCCTTCTGGCAGCCTCTGCAAGGGTAGTCCATAGCTAGCAGGAGGAGACCTTAGCTGGATCTACACAGAATAGAATGTGACCTTGTTCTATCTCCTTTCCAATAAACACCATAAGGCCCATTTAGATGTTGCGGGGAATGGGTAAAGGGCAAAATTTATGCTGGAGACATGGGTGTTCATCCAAACCCTACCTGAGCATTGCCACTGTCTGGAAATCTGGAAAGGTTGCTAAACCTTTATGAGTTGAGTGCAAAGGTCTGAAAGGGAATGTTGAAAGAATTCGGCCAAGCACATTGCCGGAGCTCCCATGATCGCTAATGTGTTTACGAAATCCTCTTCAAAATTCACACTGAATGCACAGAAGTCTAATGCTATGGGCATGCAGAGGAATGTTTGGGGCTAGGGTTTATTTACATCCTCATATCCCCATCCTGAGTTTGGCCTTTCATAAGCATGTAGAATAATGCCTGAAGGCAGAGCTGTAGAGCTATACAGACATAGATTATTTTATAAAAAGTTATTTTATGAACTGCTGGATAGCTCAGCGGTTTGGGTATCTGACTGTGGAGTCAGAGGTTGAAAGTTCAATTCCCCACTGTGTCTCCTTGACAAGAGCTGGACTCGATGATCCATAGGGTACCTTCCAGCTCTGTAGTCTATGATGATGATGATTAAAGAAGTTATTTTATAAAAATGACAAATATGCAGCCTGATTTTTAGCTGGAATTACCACAGTTCTGAGAAATAGTTTCCCTTTCGAAAGCCTGACATAACTCTGGGCACATCAGAAGCTGTGCCATTAATTGTACATAATAGGGAGATCCCAAAGCTTATTCAGCTAGTATGAGGGAGATGAGGCTTGGATTTCATGTGCAGAAAGAGCAAACTTAACAAGCCTTACACATTTGTAGGAAATATCCTCCTACTCTGCATGAAGGAGAATGAGCTGTAGACTGAGGAACAGTCTGTGAACAGGGCCAGTCTTTACATTAGGCGGTACACAAGCTGCAGGGTGGGTTTATAATAGGGTCCCCATAGGCAGGTTTCCACTAACAGTCTTGATTTCTGCTGTATCAAGAAATGTTTCTGAAAACTCTTCAAAGGTAGACTCCAGCAGAGCACCCTGCCAACTGAAGTAATCCAGAGATAACTAAGGAATGTCTCACCATAGTCTGTCTAGACTTGCTAAGAACAAGCAAAATTGTCATCTTGACTTAACTTGAGTGAAGATAGCCCTACTGGAGACACATGAAAAATCCAGGTACAAAGAAAATCCAAGAGCATACACAAACAGTGTTGCTGCTTCTTTAAGAGGAGTATCGTCCCATTCAAACTAGATTGAACTCCTGTTCTATAGTCTTTCTCTTTCTTTCTGTTGCCCGGAACAAGCTTCTGATTCATCCAGGAAAGGGAGGTTTAAAGGAATGCACAACATTCTACTGTCAAGAATCTTTAAACAGCTACTCAGTAACATTACCACTCCTCATTATTTGTATATTAGTAACAAGTTACTAAATTACTTTGTAATTTTTCAAAAAGTGCACTTAAAAAAGACAAAATTTCCTCCAAATTCCCTCAAATGACATAAATATTACTTGTTGCTATAAAACAAGTAATAAAAAAGTAAAGAATATGTTGCATTATTTTGGAAAAGGATGGCTATTATGTCCTTGGTATGCCTAAAGCTTATGTGCTCCAAGTGACATTTTAATGGGATACTTCTAAGTTGTACCTACACCACTTGAACTGGTGTACAGTTGTGGATAGAGTCATAGCTGAAATTTCCAACTATCCAACATATTCATTTAACTATCCAACAATTCATATGCTTCTTCCTTACTATCTACCATTGTCGCATCACAAGTTCTACTGATGATTGGAGATACTCATTACCATACTTTTCCTGCTTGTTATCTATTGTTGTTGTTCAGTTGTTAAGTCATGTCTGACTCTTCGTGACCCCATGGACCAGAGCACATCAGGCCCTCCTGTCTTCCACTGCCTCCCGGAGTTGGGTCAAATTCATGTTGCTAGCTCTGATGACAATGTCCAGCCATCTTGTCCTCTGTCATCCCCTTCTCACCTTCACACTTTCCCAACAACAGGGTTTTTTCCAGGGAGTCTTATCTTCTCATGAGACAAAGTCTTGGAGCCTCAGCTTCAGGATCTGTCCTTCCAGTGAGCACTCAGGGTTGATTTCCTTCAGAATGGATATGTTTGTACTCCTTACAGTCCAGGGGACTCTCAAGAGTTTCCTCCAGCACTACAATTCAAAAACGTAAATTCTTCAGTGGTCAGCTTTCTTTATGGTCCAGCTCTCACTTCATACATCGCTACTGGAAAAACCGTAGTTTTAATTATGCGGACCTTTGTCAGCAAGGTGATGTCTCTACTTTTTAAGATGCTGTCTAGCTTATCTATAACCTGGGATTAATTTAGCCACCCATAATTGTCATTGTTTACAGAACAATGTTTCCTGAGAGAGGAACTGAATATAAACAAAAGTTTTAAAGGTCATTGCCAGGTCAACAACTTGGGCCCAAATACAATCTCTGATTTCTGACCATGTATAAATATTTGCCATGTAGTCCTACTCTTATGTCTGAGAAAGTGGACTTGTCCATGAAAGCTCACATTAACATATAGCAGTCTTTAAGTTGCCACAATGTTTTATCTACTTTTAAAAATGTTCTCTTTTTTTTTGCCTGATATATGCACCCAAGAAGATTCAACTTGACAGCACGTAATGTAAGAACTTCTAAACTCTGACTGCACCCACTTGAATCTTCTGTGAATAACTTGAATGCCCATACATGGCAACAGAGCTTTGCTATTATGTAAGTAATTTCTATTATACCGGCTGCTGTGTCTAATCACTGCACTGCTGAGGCACTTCCATGTTGGACACAGTCTCCCAGACTGTAATAGCTAGGTTGGCATATGCAAATCCTATCAGAACAATAAGATGCTCTGGAGATGAGAACCCTCCCCTTTAGAAAAAAATATTAAAATTCAGCAGCAGGCTAGGCCTCAGTATCAGCCAGCTGCCACCACAGAATGATGTTAGCTGTTTCATGAGGAAGCATTCTTTTGGCTTCAATCTGCAGGCTGCCCTCTGCAGCTTAGCTTTGAAGAGACTAGTGGGAATCCACAGATTTCAGCTTCCACACCAGCAGCCAGTCTATAATCCACTTGAACATTTCCTTTCATCCACATAATTATCACAGCATTCAGCAACAGGGCAACTGGTGTCGGCAAAAGATACCTGCACTTTCTCTGACAGCAGTAAGGATCACGTCATATTTATTTATTTATTTATTTTTAAATATTCACATCGTCCTTCAGTTGTAGGACCGAGATGAGTTACAAGTAAGTTTTAAAGTATGCAGTGACTGGCCACGTTCTTTAAATAATAAATACAAATGGGGACCCATGAATAAAACATAACAGCCCTTAGCTCTTGCTGGAGCAGGATGTCATTCTGATTCCCTGCTATCTCCTGCAATATTAGTTCACCTATCCTGCTTATCTTTGTTTTGGCTCCCAAAAAAGTATTCAGCATACACTTTGCTATGACAGGGAATCATAATCATACAGAGTTCATTTTGTGTTTGTTGGTTTTCTGGTTCTTAAGCAAAGGTGTGCAAATTGCGGCCCACTGATAGCTATCTGGCTACCTTTTGCAACCATCCCTTGGTCCTCTTAGATCAACTAGATCACTGGTTCTTAACCCTTGTTACTCAGATGTTTTTGGACTGCAACTCCCAGAAGCCTTCACCATCAGCTCTGCTGGCTGAGGTTTCTGGGAGTTGCAGTTCAAAAACACCTGAGTAACAAAGGTTAAGAACCACTGAATTAGATCAACTAGGAAACTGTTTATTTGTATCTCTAGTCCTAAGTGGAGAAGTCCTGACCTTGCAACAGTTTAGGCTGTTGGTAATACAGTATACCATTATTATGTGGATTGGATACTCAACTTCCTCCCTCTACCCTGTGGGATTCCTGTGTCTCTGAACAAAGAAAAATAAATGCTGCAGTAGAAAAGCATTGTCCAGATGGATTTCTGCCTGCTATTTAGTATTAAAAACACAGGTATCTTGCCAGATAATAGCTACAAAATTTCTTAGTGCAAATTCAATATCAAAAAGTTAATGGCATAGTTATCTTGAAGTGACAAAATGATAACAACCACCACCACCACCACCACCACCACCTTAGAAGGGGATAGCTCAAAAGGACCTAATACAGTCCAGCCCCTCTCAAGGAGGCACAGTGGGGAATCAAACTTCCAACCAGACACCTAAACCACTGAGCTATCCACCAGTTCTATGTTTGTTATCCTAAGTAACGGACTAGGCTAAAGTGAAAAATATAGCAAGCCAAATGTTAAAATAAACAGCTTTATTAAAACCAGAACGTGCTCTATTACTGAGCAAGGGCTCAATTACACATGCCAAAAGAATCCCAGTTATATTGATTCTACTGTTATTTAAGTCATTTTATACATTTCCATTCAAGTGACACATGGGTATCATCAGTTCATTTGCTTAGCTAACAGATTTTTCTCTACCTTGCTGGCACGGTTGTTTTAAAATCTACCAATCCTGTATTGATTCAGTTGTTATTGATAACAGACAGGCAGTTGTTATCCGAAGCAGAATGAAATAAGAGCAAATTTAGTGGAAAAAGGTAGCAAGATGAGCGATTTTCTATTCTGGGGTTCAGATGAGGAGGGGGATGAGGAGGGGGGTGGGAGACTGAAAGAGATCTTGGCTTTGGGTTCTCCTCCTCTTTTGCAAAAGCCAGGGTGACCCTCCCCACCTGCTCCTCCTGCTCCCCACTTCCACCCCCACCTTGGTGATGAAGAAACGGAGGAGGATGAAGCCTTACTAGTGGCTCCCTGAACATGGAGAGAGGTGTCTCTGGTGTAGGCTCATTTGTTGGCTGGCTGCCCCCAGAGTTTGCCCCCACCCCATCATCTCCTCCTGATGGAGCTAGAGGAGGGTGAGAAGAGCCATAGCTTGGCTATCAGTCGTGCTGGATGGCACACTTCTCTTTTCTCCTGGATTGGCCACGGGGGTGCCTCTTAAGAGCAACACCACCACTAACATCACTCCCAGAAATAATGATAGGAGAGGTGGTGTCACGAGTGCGAGCAAGTTCCTGTCCAGTCTGCATGGAGGTAAGGCAGCCGTGTCTCTTGCCTTTACATGCATATGTTGCTTAAGTAATACATCACTTATGGTTTTCTTTTTTAAAGAAAATTTGGGGGCAGCAGAGATCCAGAAACTGTGCAGAAAATGAACCAATATAAACGTCATGGGATGTGTAGCCTACAGAAAAGATACAAATAGCAAGAAATGGTAAGGAAATGTGATGCAGCCAACATGTCCTGGTAAATCTTTTTCCCCCTCCCAAGGTCAAAGTTTTTGCTCTGCAGAACAAAAAGGAATGGACACCTGGCTAATGAATTCCATTTGGCCTGGTTTACTGAGTTACTAGTGTTGTTGGTGGAACATGAACAGATCCAAGACTGTCAAACAGCTTTCAGAGCATATGGCCCAAGTTCTAAATGAGGAGGCTCACACTGCTTTGCGTGTGTTGCTTTTTCAGCCTGAAACACTTCATCTGGCACTTTTCCATGGGAAGACTCCAAGTTATTTTTCAACTGCCCACTTATTTTTACCTGCAGTTTTAGCTGCTGTCATGAACTTCTTCATTTCCCAAGGGGTCAGTTGAGTTCATGTTCAAGGGCATTATAAGTTGCTTCTATTGATCTCTCATTCCTGAAAAGCTAAGGTGGAGCTTCAGAATGTTAATCTATGGACTAAAACAGCCAGAATCCTTCTGACCATTATTGGTTATGCGATTCCAGGAGTTTGTTTGTTTGCATTTCCCTGTCACCTCATTAATCTTATCACTCTCTGAGCAGTTCACAATGTACAAGAAAATAATATAAGAAAAACATGATGTAATACAATAAAAATACAATAAATCCTGTCACTAGCTAAAACAGTGAGTTAACCTTTAAATAGAAACACACAAATTAAAATCCATTTGAACATCTCAGGTTAATATTCACACTAGTAGAAGGCAGCTTTATATACAGTAATCTGGTCTTAAATAGCTCCCCCAAAACAGATAGGGATGGCAACCAGTGAACCTCTATAGGCAGCATATTCCAGAGGGATGGGGCCATGACCCAGAAAGCTTGGTTCCTAGTGCTGGCTTTTTTGGCCTCTTTGGGTGTTATCATTCTTAACAGCAAAGACTATGATGAGCATATGGGACAGGTTGCTATTTTATGGGCAAGATGTTCTGTTATAGCATAGGGAAGATAGTATTTCCAGCCTCTGGAAAAGGGAACATGGGAGATGTAGGTTCTCCCTCTTAGTCTCCAGATAACTGTTTCTGTTGTTCTGAGGGCCTTCCAGGAAAACTATCTACTCACTCACTCACTCACTAATTACCTGAGGGGTCAGAAAAAAAATGAGTATTTTCCTGCCTTAATAAATTCCTGGGGGGTGTGTGTGTCTAATGGGGCCATATTCATATCATGGCAATCACTCTTTGGCCACCACTATCGCAATTTTCTTAAAGACAGCCTGCCTGAATAGTGTTATGAACTGTCCTGGGCTCTGTCCTCAGATCTTGCCCCAGCCATGCATGTTTTGGATGTGAGGCACGTAGGAAGCATCTGATGCTCATGATAACATAAAAGGAAAATCTTGCTTTATTTCCCGTCCCCCTCAACAAACAAAAATCCATTCATTTTGTTGTTGCTGTTGCTGTTGTTGTTGTTGTTGTTGTTGTTGTTGTTGTTGTTGTTGTTGTTGTTGTTGTTATGTGCAATTAAGCAAATTTCAACTTACACTGACCCTAAAAATTGGCAACTTCCAAAAGATCCTACCACTTACAGCCCTTCCCAGGTTTTGCAAATGCAAGGCCATGGCTTCTGTTCTTTAATTCAGGATAAAATCTAGACTTGAGTACAGATGCTCTGAGAGCTGGCCTCTATGTCTACAAGTGCTGGAGGACAACATGAAGCCTTCCATTTCCTTTCCAGAAGAAAGAAAACAAAGGAACTAAAATACTTCCTTGAAAAAGAGGGAAATGCCCTGGCCTAAAGAGAATGTATCCTAAGGGGCAACAATGTACAAGTGGTCATGCAAATAAAACTAAAAGAGGTCAAGATAACCAACCTCACCTGGCTATCAGTCTGTCAGTTCCCACTGACTACTTCAAATAAAACATTTCCCCACTAATCCCAGACAGGGCTGGGGAATCCTTTTACCTGAACCCTCAGAAAGCCACTGACCAGCAGTGCAGACCAAAGGTGGAGAACATGCTGGCCATGCTCTACTAATGGCCCAAAGATAATTTTTGCAGGTCCTGACCCCCTCCTGGATGTGCCCAGCTGAAAATATCTTTGGCTGACAATGATGAAGCTGTCAGGAGCAGTGACTCTACTTTAAACTAAAATACAGGACCTTGCTTTAGTGTATACACTGTGTAGGTCTGTCTGTGTTTTCAGTACCAGAAGTAAACTTCCAACTTCTTCCAGGTTTTAATAAAAATATAAAGAACACACCGTTTGTGTGCTTGGATCGGTCTCTGAGGTACAAAACTGAATATTTTATACTATAGTTATTGATCATTTCTCTCTTCTCATTCCTCTCCCTCTTTCCTTTTCTCTCTCTTTCTCTCTCTCTCTCTCACCTAGAATGTGAGTGGTAATGGCTTTTAACCGAGATCTAATGACACAATGAATGTATTCTCTCTTTACATGGATTTGGATGAGGCACAAAGAGAAAATTACTTACTGTTTTTCCATTGCTTTGGCTACAGAGGCAAGCTTCATAAATGGAGAGCCTTTTTAACTGGGTTCCAAATTGGTTTGACTCAATTTTATTAATAAATAAGCTACTTTATGCAACACAGAACAGCTATGATTACTTCCTCTGTGGAAATATTCCTCTTTCTTCCAACTATGGTCTTGAAGAAGCAGGCTGCTAAAAGTTTTCAATCAGATGTCAAAAGTCAGACACCCTGCAAAGGCCTGATGTGATCAATTTCACAAGCAGCAATCTTATTTATGTCTCATGACAAAGCCAGGAAAGTCAATCAATAAGCACCAACACTCAGAGTAATGTTATCCTGCTGGGTGTTGTCAAGCAACCAGCCATCAACTGGGTTTGCAGGAGGATCCTGGAAAAAAAGGATTAAGGGGAAAATAATTAGGTTATTGACTTTACTCCTCTGATTCACTCATTGCACATTTTATCTAAATGCTTCCTCAGAAGGTAATTTAACAATGCATGCCCAAACAATGCTGCCTTTGTTCCTTGACAACCGTCTGTCAGATGTACATGGACATCACACACACAGCTTGGCACTCAGGTAGCTAAAGCACTGTCTGACCCCACATGAACCTGCCTGACTGCTAAGATCACTCATCAGATGTCCTTCTCCAGAAAGGTTAGGCAGGCAGTGATAGGAGAAGAGCCTCTCTTGTCATGATATCTACTCTGGCTTTGAGAATCTTGTCTCCAGAGATATCCCAGGTGAAATAATAAAAAAAGGCAAAAGACCTTTATATCTGTCCAGACTTTTAGTGCTTAATCTGTTGTTACTGTTTTAGAGCTTGTCTGTTTTATTTGCAGTTTTATTGCCTGACCGTTGCTGCTATTATATTGTTGTAATTTTGAGAATTCTTTCTATAGTGCTTTTTATTTTCCTGTTACCTCAGATGCCTTGAAAATGCATAGAATTCTATTGTACAATACAATCTGAACCAGAGAGACAGACAGAAGTGCAATGAGCACTCAAGAGTAAGTGAATCCTTTATTTACTTATAATGAAGTATTTATTGTCACAGTATCATTAGATTGATAGTAAGGATTTCCCCCAAAACCCCTGGACCCAATTTTGGGAGAAGAACTGCCAGACACCACAGACCCTACACCTTCAAATGAAGCCCAAGTTGGAAGAGTTTCTTAAAAATAAAGTTCTAAAGGAACAACTAAAAATAATTCCAACAAGAAAAAAAAGGTGAGAGACAGCTAAAAAGGGCCACAAAGACAGGACCTGAAAACAAAAAAGGACATGTATAGGAAGTGGAAGGGAGGTCAGACCACAAAGGATGAGTACAAACAAGCAGCAAGGAATGGTAGGGGGGCATTAGGATGGCAAAAGCTTAGAATGAGCTGAGGCTAGCTAGAAACACTAAAAGCAACAAAAAAACATTCTTCAGGTATGTGTGTAGCAAAAGACAAAAGAAACAGTGCCTCAGCTACTTAATGGAGATGGAAATATGATAACAGAAGTCATAGAAATGCCAGAAGTGCTCAATGGAGATGGAAATATGATAACAGAAGACATAGAAAAGACAGAAGTGCTCAGTTCCTTTTTTTAGCCCACTCTTTTCCCAAAGGACAATGACCCTCCAGACAAATGTGAAATTGAAGTGGAGGGGATAGGACTGCAGCTGGAGAATGATGAACAAATAGTCAAGGAATACCTTACTACCTTGAAAGAGTTCACATCTCCAGGGCCGGATGAATTACATCAAAGAATACTGAAGGAACTGGCTGAAGAACTCTCAGAACCATTATCCATTATTTTCTTGAAACCATGGGAAATGGGTGAGGTGCCAGATGATTGAAGGAGAACTAATGTTGTCATTATCTGCAAAAAGGGTAAAAGGGAGAAATCTAGGAACTACAGACCAGTCAGCCTGACATCAATCCCAGGGAAAATTCTGGAACAAATTATAAAGCAGTCACTAGGCAAGCACCTAGAAAACAATGCAGTACTAAGTAGAAGCCAACATGGCTTTGTCAAGAACAAATCCTGCAAAACTAACATGACTTCATTTTATGATCAGGTAACCTCCCTAACAGACAGAGGGAATGCTGTAGACATAGTATATCTTGATTTCAGCAAAGCTTTTTTCAGAGTGCTCCATGATATTCTAATTAGCAAGCTAACCAAGTGTGGGCTGGGTAGAACAACTGTCAGGTGGATACATAGTTGGCTACAGAATCATACTCAGAAGGTTATGATTAATAGCTTCTTCTCAAACTGGGTGGGGGGTAATAAGTGGGGTAACCCAGGACTCAGTCCTGGGCCATGTGCTCATCAACATTTTTATTAATGACCAGGATCAGGGGTGCACGGAATGCAAACCAAATTTGTGGATGACACAAAATTAGGTGGAATAGCTCAGTGGTTCTTAACTTTTGTTACTCAGATGCTTTTGAACTGCAACTCCCATAAACCCCAGTCAGGACAGCTGGTGGTGAAGGCTTCTGGGAGTTGCAGTCCAAAATTCCTGAGTAACCCAAGGTTAAGAACCAGTGGAATAGCTAATGCCCTGGAAGACGGCATTATTTTCAAGAAAATAATGGATAGGCTTGAGCACTGGGCTGAAAAAAACAGAATGATATTTAACAGGGATAAAGGCAAAGGAGGAAACAATGCTCAGGAGGCTGGAAACCAAGCCCTATGAGGAAAGTCTGAAATAACTGGGCATATTTAGCCTTGAGAAAAGAAGACTGGGGGGAATTCTACATGGAACATGTAGAAAAACAGGCCCTGGATTTGGCACCCTTCACACCCACAGTCTGGTTCCAATACGTGGATGACACCTTCCCAATTTGGAACCACGGTGAAGAAAAACTGGAGGAATTTCTAAACCATCTTAACAGCATCCACCAAAATATACAATTCGCCATGGAAAAAGAAATAGAGGGCCAACTCCCTTTCTTGCATGTCAGGGTCATACGCAAAACTGACCTCCTATTGGGACACAAGGTCTACAGAAAAACCACTCACACAGACTGGTATCTACACAAAAACTCCAACCACCATCCATGACAAAAAAGAGGCACAATCAAAACACTGGTAGACCGTGGAAATCGGAACTGTAAAACTCAATTTCTCAGCACCAAACTCAACCATCTGAATTGGGCCCTACAGGCAAATGGCTATTCCAAGAATGAAATCAAAAGAGCCATCAAACCAAGAAAACAACAGGAAAAACAGCCACCCACAAATAAAGTATTTCTGCTATACATCAAAGGGGTCATGGACCCCACAGGGAAAGTTTTGAAAAAGCACAACCTACAAACAGTATTCAGACCCACCACAAAAATATAACAAATGTTATGGTCAGCAAAGGACAAAAGGGACCCCACTCACCACTGCAGGAGTATACTGGATACCTTGCAATTGTGGACAGGTATATATTGGAACAACAAAATGCAGCATTCACACCAGAATCAAAGAACATGAGAGACATTGCACACAAAAACAACCGGAAAAATCAGCAGTAGCTGTTGTGGTGGTGGATTAGTTGTTTAGTTGTGTCCTTTCCAGGAAATCTCTTCTCATGAGATGGTCAAAGTATTGGAGCCTCAGCTTCAGGATCTGTCCTTCCAGGGAGCACTCGGGGTTGATTTCCTTCAGAATGGATAGGTTTGGGGAAATGGGCAAGACAGAAACTAACTTTCTTTCTTTGGTGGCTCGAAAGCAAAGCAGCTACCATGTTCTTTGTGCATGGCAGGAGAGGAAGCTGAACACGTTCCATATGTGTTGTCTCTGACTGATTTTTGGTATCACCTGGCAGGACAAAGTTCCAAATTGAGTAGTCTGATATCGAGCTGGAATTTTTTAGCATGTATACATTACTGAAACAGCACTGGCTTGGGCATGTCGTGAGAATGGCTGATGTTCGGATTCCCAAAGATCTCCTGTATGGAGAATTAGTGCAGGGAAAGTGCCCCAGAGGGAGACCACAGCTGTGATACAAGGATATCTGCAAGCGGGATCTGAAGGCCTAGGAAATGGATCTCAACAGATGGAAATCCTGACGTCTGAGCGGTGCATCATGGCCTCTCCCAATTTGAAGAGACCCTTGTCCAGCAGGCCAAGGCAAAGAGTCAGTCACAAAAGTAGCAAAATCAGGGAGCTAGACGGTGTACAGATTATATTTATCTTCAGTGTGGAAGGGATTGTCACTCTCGAATTGGCCTTCTCAGCCACCCTAGATGCTGTTCCAAGTCTTCCATACAGAGCACAATACCATAGACTCTCGAGACTGAAGGATGCCTAATTAATCTAATGCATAACCAAGGAAGAGATAATTTGCTATCTCAGTTGTTTGTAAATGTAATTTCATGGAGAATGCAACCTACGATCTAGACCTCAATCGTGCCCAACATTTCATGATGGTTATTCATTTTCTTTAACTTTTAAGATAGAATTAATTATCATAATTTAACACACACACATTTTGCTTTATTTAGCAGAACAACAGGTGTAGTACCAAGAAAATTAGCTCCTCTTCATCCCCAGCCTTGTTAGAACTCACTTGCCCCAGCCACCTTTTGATAAAATATACCGAAAAGAAAAAGGAAAAAAGAAAAGAAAAGAAAAAAGAAAGAAAGAAAAAAGAAAGAAAGAAAGAAAGAAATTTGTTTTCAGTCCAGGACTCTCAGGAAATGGGTTCTTCTAGCCTTGCTGTATAGGAACACATTTGCAGTTTAATGCGTCTATATTGTTAAGTCATTAATTGTAATTTCTTTCCATTCATTACTTTTTGTATTGCAGAGGATAAATGAGGTTTCTTTCTCCCCCTCCTCTTCATTATACGTTAACAATCAGAAAATGGAAAAGGTGGAGTGATGATTGCATTCTTTTCAGGAGCTCTTGGAATTTGCAGAGAACAGATGACAGTAATTAAAATCCACAGGAAACACAGAAGAGAAAAGAGGCCTCCAGAGAAGAGGGTGGGTTGGGCCATTTTTAGGGAAGCAAATGTCTAAGGCAAGTAGGAGGGTACTGTGCACAGTGTGATAACCACACGAGAATGCTGTCAAGATTATGGCTGGGACAGGGAGGTCCTCACAAACCACTGAGCCATACTACTTGAACTTTCCTGGCAGGAGAGGTTTCCGGGGGTGAGGGGCAAATGTGCTGATGACAGGGGAAAATCTTCCTGTCTGGTTCCGTCCCAACTCTCTGAGCCACCCTGACTCATAAGTGCTCCAGGGAATACCAACACTCTCAAGATTGCACAACTCTGTGTAATATGTAACTTAAATAAAAAAAATGCCCATAAAGTGTGAAGGGATCCAGTCGATATTCAAGTCAAGACCTGGATATATTCCTGAAATATGCAGGTTGTTTGAATTTTTTAATTGTTT